AGATGTGTGGTCTACTCGAGTCCTAAATCCAAGGAAGCAGTTCAGTTCTCTCTCGTACTTGGGAGCAGGAAGTTCTGACCCATCTCTTTGGCTTCTGTCCTTGCCGGTCCTTGAATCCCTGCTGTTGCCATGGGAGACGGGACGACACCCAGGACAGGTCCAGAACTCAGTGAGGTGGATGAAGTCGGCAGTCAAGCACTGGAACTTTCTGAAATGATAAGAGATGTTAAAAGAACAAGCGGAAAAGGCTATGGAGAAAATATCTCAGGTACAAAAAGGAATGACGCTTAAAATCAAAGATATTAGAGAAGACACATAAAAGAATAGATAAGCTTAGAAAATTGATGGGAACAGAAAATGCCCAACATAGGAAAGAAATGAACCCATGAAACAGATCCAAACAGAAATCTGAGAGATTAAAACCCCCACTGAAAGTACACGCAACGGACTGAGCAAAGGAGAGGACAGAATTTCAGGTCCTGAGGACAGAATTGCCACTAGTGATCAGGAAAAAACAGATACCTTAAAAATAGCAAGAGACCATGAGAAATCAATCCCACAGCTACAACATAAAGCAAAGAAGAATAACGTCAGATTGATTGGGGTCAGTAAGAAAGCTGGACACAGCACAAATGCCGTAAAGAAATAATGGCAGAAAAATTCCCAAACATGGATAAAGAATTTTATAAACAAATAAATGAAGGATATAGAACTCCAAATATAATCACAACCAAAATAAAACTATACCAAGACATATAATAATCAAGATTCCAGAAATAGAATGCAAGAACAGAATATTAAAACCTAATAGGGAAAAAAAAGGATCACCTGTAAAGTCCATCAGAATCAGGGCAGAGTTCTCAACACAAATCTTCAAGTCAAGAAGCACTTGGGGTGAAGTATTTCAAGTCCTGAGAGAAAACTTCTTCCAACCCAGATTGATGCACCCTGAAAAACTACCTTTCAAAATTAATGGAGAACTAAGATACTTCTATGACACAGAACAACAGAAGAAATGTATGACCACCAAACCAACACTACAAAGAGAACTGAAAGATATCTAAACAGAGATAAAAATGACCACAGTTTCAAGAAAAACAACAGAAATAAACCACCAAGCAAGACAAGCAGTTAAACAGAGGGGAAAATCAGGGAACCAACATCAAGAAAATATGACAAAGACAAGCCAATACGTATCAATTATAACCATCAATGTAAATGGACTCAGTTTACCAATCAAAAGAAGTAGAATGGCAGAATGGCAGAATGGATCAAGAAAAAGATCCAACAATATTCTGTATACAAGAAACACATCTAACCCGAAAAGAAATTCATAGACTGAAAGTCAAAAAAATGGAAAACAATATTCTATGCAACAGGAACACAGAAAAACGCAGGGGTATCTATTCTGCTTGCAGACAATGTGAACTTGCAACCAAGAATGATCAAAAGAAATACAGAAGGTGACTACATACTTGTTAGGGGGGAAAAAAATCAAGAGGAAGAGATAACAAATAAATATGTGTGTGTGCATCCGATACAGGAGCACCCAACTGTATAAGACAATTATTAATAGGCATGAAAAATCAAACAAGCAGTAACACAATTGTAACAGGAGACCTCACTACCCAGCTGTCACAAAAAGAGCAATTAGACAAAAACAGCAGAGAAATATTAGAACTAAACCAAACCCATGAACAAATGGACTTAGTAGATATTTTCAGAGTATTCCACCTAACATCATCAGAATAAACATTCTCCTCAGTACTTCAAAGGATCAACAGCTGGGATCTCATTAAAAAGTTTTTGCACATCAAAAGAAATTACCAACAAAGGGAAAAGAAAACCCACAGAGTGGGAAAATATTTTAACCAACTGTCCCTCAGACAAAAGACTTCTATCTAGAACATATAAAAAATTGAAAAAAATCAGACCCTCCCCAAATTCAAAGACCCAGTCCAAAAATGGGTGGCTGAGATGAACACATACTTTCCAGATGAAGAAATACGAATGGCAAATAAACATGAAAAGATGTTTGACATCATTGGTCATTCAAGAGACGTAAATTAAAACAACACTGAGATTCTGTCTCACCCCAGTAAGCATGGCTTTCATCCAGAAATCAACCAATAACAAATTCTGGGGAGACTGTGAGGGAAAAGGGACCCTTTTCCACTGTTGGTGGGAGTACAGACTGCTACCACCAACCGGTGCAACCACTATGGAAATCAGTGTGGAGATTCCTCAAAAAACTTGGATTAGAGATCTCATTTGACCCAGCTATTCCCATTCTGGGTATTTTTCCAGAAAAATTAAAAACATCATAGCACAGCGTATATGCATCCATGTTTATAGCCACACAATTTATAACTAAATCATGGAAACAACCCAAATGCCCATTAACCAAGGAATGGATAAAAACGATGTAATATTTTTATACAATGGAGTACTACTCAGCTCTGAAGAAAGCTAAAGTCAAGGCTTTTATAGGTAAATGGATGCCATTAGAGACCATACTGATAAGTAAAGTAAGTCAGACTCACATGTTTAAGAACCATATTGTCTCCTAGTAGAAGAAGCTGAACAAATAAATAGAATCCAGAATGTAAAATAGATACTGGGAAGTGGAAGGAAACTGTTCAAAAGGCAAAAGAAACTGGGATGGGAGGGAGAGAAACAAAGGAAGAGAAAAAGAAAAAGAAATGTATTCATAAGACAGTTAAGATAGTTATACCGCTAATTGATTAATGTCAACTAATTCAAACTGGGTAGGGAAAGGAGAAAATATTGTATGTGTATATGTATACATATATGTGTGTATGTACATACATAGACAAGGTAGACAACTATACTACTAACCTTTGTTAGTTCACAAAAAGAACACTGTGTGTTTTCACTGTTTAATAATTTTTATGCCCACCCTTGTGATCTGAACAACCACTTTTAAGATAACAACATGCAATATATTAACTAGTGTGAATTTCCCATTATTTGATTTGAACTTCTGTGTTATTTTTATCCTTTTTTGTTTATATATAGTATATATATACATATATATATATTAGTTCATTGAAAAGAAAGTTTTGTGCCTGTATTATTTGATCAATTTTTCATGCCTATAGCTGGTAATACAAGCAACTACTTGAAAACAGCAATAGACAATGTACTAACTATTGTTACTCTCTTTCAATCCTGTTTTGAAACTTTGTACTATTGTTTTTATTGGGGTTTTTTTTCTTCTTTAAAATAAAAAAAAAAGAAACATAATGATGCAACTTTATTCAGAGTGTGATCAAACATAATTCACAAGTGAATATGTCACCCATATGTACTCACGTCATCACAGACTGGATGAATGCGTGTCCTCCATGAAATTCCTGAGACAATGAGAAAAGGCCACCGGGAAGCAGGCACAAGAGTTTTTACTCTATAAGTCATTCACCCCTCTGTTGTTTGAAATCTTGGTCATGAATATGTATTTTAGTATTTCATGCAAAAATATATTTCTAATCTTGGTATCAGAAATGAATCTCTCCAAATATCTGGTGGGTTGAAGCTTTATTACACACACACAGACACACAAAATGTCAATCAGCAAACAGTACAAATGACAAGCAACCCTCTACCGGAAGAAAGTCTCAGAATTATAAAATACCGCACACTTACAAATGTCAGCTGTCATGCATTACAGATTACGAAAAGAGATAAAAATGAAATCTAAGGCTGCTCTGTGTTAGAGATCATGCTGTGTGTCGTGAATCGATGGTAAACATGGAAGGAAAAATAAGGACAGTTTGGAAAGTGGCCGAAAGCACACAAATGTTTTCATCACAGCGCTGGAGAGGTACAGCGCGGCTCTGTGTGAACCAGCATCAGTGCCGCTCTTCGGCCCTCCTTGAGACACCTGCTCCGCACAGTGGGGCTCACTTCCAGGGAAACGAATCTGCTCACTAATGAACGTGTTTGCACTGAGAAGCAGATGTGGGCAGGGGACACAGGTGACCCAGGGCCCAGCCTGGCCTCGGGGTGCTTACGGAGTCCTGGTGGCAGCCCAGGGGCAAGGCACAGAGCGTGAAGCAGGGCTTGGAACACAGCGGTCAGGCGCCCCCCCAGAGGGAGATGTTCTGTGTTGTTTCCTTTCAGACTAGGAAAGCCATGAAAATCATCAGAAGCGCAGAGAGAGCATCAGTGCAGAGAGGGGCGTGGAGAGGCGACTGGGAGGAGGGAGGTGATCACGAGGGCAGCCTGGGGGAGGAAGACCCAGTCCTGGGCCCAGGCACGCAGGAAGAGGGCCTGGGCCGGCAGCTCCGGGACTCACCGGGAAGGCAGCAAGCAGCCGGTGCCCGACTGTCTCAGTCTGGGCGGAAGCTGCTGCACTGAGGCAGGACGCAGGAGCGGTGGGGCTGCGGTTATGGGAAGGTTGGAGCAGGCCTGGGAGACCTTCGAGTCAACCTGGAAAGCAGAGCAGAGATGAGTACAGCAGCACAGAGGTGGCAGCAGAGGCTGGTGGCATGAATTTTAATAAAACTAACAACAAAATCTTGTCATTTTCAGTGTGACAGCCAGGCGCAGGGCAGAGAAACCCCACTGAGATGTAGCTCGGGTGCAGAAATCAAGGGATTCTTAAAATGAACCCTGCCTGTGAAAAGTCGCTGGAAATGAGCCCAGTGTGCTTATTCTTAAGCCAGACATGGTGGTGCACATCCGTAAACCCAGCACTCGGGAGGCTGAGGCAGGAAGATCACTGCGGGTTCGAGACCAGCCTGGGCTACAAAGAGAGCTCAAGGCCAGTCTGAACCACATAGTGAGACCCTGCCTCAAAAAGACTAAATAAATAAATATGTTTTCCCCTTCATTTTTACTGTTGAATCAGATAACGGTATTTCTATGAAGACGCGGGAACTATAACCTGTACTTCAAGTGTCAAACAACCAAGAAACACCGTTAGGATTTCTAAGTTTCTCGCTCATAGTTGCTTCTCCTGCGTTTTGCATTTTTAGGCTGGAAATACTGATAACATCCTTTTTGGAAGACCAGGATCCAGAGAGCAGACTAGAGGTTGGCGCTGATATGCGTAAAATTCACCACTGTTTTCATCATTTAAAGGTAAATTTATATGTTTCCTCCCATAGAAGCCATTTCCTGGCTCGCTCACACAGCAGTAAAAGCCCTTGTAGCCCACCAACCCCTGAAAAGCTGGGGTCCAGCCTCCCACATCCGGGCAATGATGTCAGTTTGAACCGAGGCTGAGAACATCACTTTCTTCCCAGCGAGTCTCTGACCCGGCAATAAACAGGCTCAGGCCATGGCTTTTCATTCTTTTGCCAGAGATCTTTGCCTACATTTCTAAAGCAGTTTTGATTTATTGTTACAGTTGGCCAGTTTTTCTCCACCTTTGTTTTTACCTTTTGTGATGAGGGAGCGGGAATATTACCCACGTCTACTGGTCCCTGACCTACACCTGTGCACACCCGTGGGGGATGGATGATGTGCGTGGCTCCACGGAGAAAGGGAAGGGAGTCCCAAGGAGATGATGTGGGGGCAGAAGTTGCCCAGCTTGGGCAAGGGAGTAAAGGGAGGCAGGGCAGGGCAGCGGGAAAGGGAAGAGAGAATCGGAGAAACCACAAAGTGGGGGGCAGAGATGTAACACCCAGCTTTCATTTCATCTTCCAGAAACTTCTGAATGACAAGAAGGTCCTCGAGAAGGATGCAGGTCGCTCCGAGGCCGAGCGCCAGGACAGCCAAGAGCCCCGGAGAGAGGGAGAGTACAGAAAGCTCCAGGACACACTGAAGCAGAGAGACAGCGAGATCAGTATCCTTTCTGGAGCCGTGGGCGGGGAACCGTGCCTCCTGCCTGGAGGAGGGGGACGGACAGGACAGGTGTCCTCCTCCTCGGCCACCCGAGCTCGTGCCCCGCCTGGCCCCTTCTTGTGAGGTCAAAACGTTCTTCCTGCAGACGGGGTGTGCTGATGAGGAAAAGGAGGAGCTATAAAGACAAACAGGCCCCTTTGCTGCCACCCAGTCACCCGTACAGAGAGCATCGCGGCTCATGGGAGAAGTACGCGCTTTGGTACACCATCTCTGAGCAGTCCTTTTTTAAAAAATGTATTTTTGGACTGCTCTGTGGTGCTCTGTTTGTTCCAGTCCTGATCCCAAAAGTTCGCTGGTTATCTTTAGCTGGCCGACCGGACACTGGGCTGACCACAACCTCCCCACAGCCCAGAATTTATGGCTGGTGTGTGGGTGAGACTCAGATGGGGACTGAACAGGGCAAATGGTATTTGGCTATGAGGAACAGAGAAGGATTTCAATGTAACCTTTTCCTCCTCCTCCTCCTCCTCCTCCTCCTCCTCCTCTTCCTCTTCCTCTTCCTCTTCCTCTTCTTCTTCTTCTTCATTTATTTAAAAGCCCGATCTATAGCTCTGAGTTCCCCCTCTTAAAAATGTTCCCAAATTTGGAAGTCAGTATAAGATAAGCACTCAAGACAGAACCCTTCTTGGCTCCGAGAAGCGGTGTATTTCGGGTGCTGAAAATGGTCGCAGCCCACAAGCGCGTTCCGTCCCGAGCTGCAGGCAAGGCGGTGACTTCTAAAGAGCCCCCGCGGGCGGTGAGACCTCAGAACTCCCTGATATTTCTTCAGAGCTATTTTTTGTTTTACCTTTCCAGCGCCTTGTAAGACTTAACATTTTCGTGGCATTTGCCACATTTGCACATACATGCGAAATCATTTTGGCCAGCCCTTTATAAACAGAGATTTTTGCTCCATTTTGTTAAATGATGTCAAGACTTCAGCATCAGCTATTGTGCAAAAGGCATAAAAATAGCCTCCCTACAGGAAATCCAGTAAGAAAGACGTGAAAAAACAAACAGAACACAAAGTAGGCGCACTGCCTGATGAGCTTCAGCATCTAATTCTAGCTGAGCTTCAGCAGAGCCTGCGTGTCAGGCTCAGGGTAGTCTCGGTCGCCTTGGTCTCCGGCCAGTAGCAGTAACTCAGCCGCACCCCACTGCCCAGCGAGCTCCCCACCAGCCACCCTACCCCTCACCCTGCCTCCGCGCCTGCGCAGCGCTGTGGCCCTCGCATTCCTCTCCTCTCCCCTACCCCATCTATCTCCAGGGACAGCCGGGCCTGGCCCTCGGCCTGAGCGCTGCTGCTTTCCTGGCCTCCGTCCTAGCTGAGGTTCTTCGCCCCCAAACGCTGCTATCAGCGGCTTGTGGCCATGTGCATGCGCAGGGGGACGGAGTGAGACAGGACAGAGAGAGAATAGTCTGGGCTTGTTGGGCTGTGTTTATGTTAAAATTAAGGTCAAAGACATTCATCCTCTCCCTCCTGCGCGGGTGCATCCGGTACGCTGTTGGTGTGGAACAGCACTCAATGCCTTATTGACCGTGAAGTGTTCCACGGGGCTCCCTCCATCTGAGACTCAGGCGTCAGAGTGGACAGATCATGGACCGAGCTCAGCGCCATGCTGGACTGAACCTGAGCTGTCCGTTCGTTAGCTCTGTGACCACTCAGCATCCTCACCTAGGAGCACCTTCCCTGTAGACGGCCTCCCGTGCCACAAAGGCAAAGGCCTCCATCAGAGGACGGTGGGGAGCAGGCGGAGAGGGCAGAGGCAGGGGAGAAGTTGGCCAGGAGGATAAGTGTGAGCTGGGATCCTTATGAAATGTAAATCACAGCGTATCTTCTCTAATTAAACCCTTGGAGGGCACCTGGCGTGATGGCGCACGCCTGTAATCATAGCACTTGGGAAGGCTGATGCTAAAGGATCACCTTGAGTTTGAGGTCAGCAGGGGCTACACAGTGACTCCAAGATTGTTGAACTGCATAGTGAGACCCTGTCTCAGAAAAAAGAAACAAAGAAAGAAAAACCACCTGGAGAGGCCTATCCTGACTTCCTGACTCCTGTCTTGTGCCCGACTCCATGTGTACAGTCCCGGTGCCCCCCACCACGGGGTTTACTCAGCCTGGGTGTGACCGCATGTGTGGGGTCTCTCCTGCACATGGGAAGACGGAGCAATGTAAGGCCGCAGCATTGGGAGCCGCCGCTGGGGACGTTTCTCCCCAGGGGTTTAGCCTTTTCCATGATGCCTTCCTTGGCTGGTCTGTGTTGTCATCCAGATCTCAGCCCTCCCCGTCACACCAAGAGGCCTTTACAGTGCACCGTGGACAGCAGCCACCCGGCCTCTGGTCCTCCCTGAGGGTTTGTGTATCCCTGCACACTCACGCGTTCACACACTGCGTTCCCAGCAGGACTTGTGCTGCATGAGAACAAGCAAGTAGTCTGCCTCTCAGCTGTTCCACACCCGTGCCCAGATTAACACACTACACCCGTGCCTAGATTAACACACTACACCTGTGCCCAGATTAACACACCCAGCCTAGAAAGCCCCGCCGAGTGAGGAAAGGGCTGGATCTCCCCGATGCAGGGTCCGGATTACCGGAAGTGTCTGGTGATGTCTGAATCAGTTTGTGCAAAGCAGAGCCCTGTCCTCCCATTCGGCTGAGGCCTAGACCTGAGATGTTAGAACCCTGCTGTCAAATACTGTTTTTTTTTTTTTTTTTTTTTTTTTTTTTTTTTTTTTTTTTGAGGCAAGGTGCAGGAGCCAGATCAAGGATTATGAGAAAAAGGCCGAGTAGGCTTTCACAAATCACCAGCAAGTCAGAGTTAAAGCTGAGGAAAGTGGAGATCAATTGCTAAGAACAAGTTCAGTCCTGCACCCCACCCCCAATTTCTGAGCAGCAGCCGTGCTGCAGCAGCACCCCGACACTTCCTGGGACTCGCATTTTCTTAAAGGCACTTCCAGGGGTGTCGAAGGCCGTGGGCCCATCTCACTGTGTGTGCATCCGAGTTCCGAGAGTCTCAAGAGAGACCGATGATAGCCTTTCCTCCTGTGGAGGGAGCAGAACCTCCCGGAGCTCTGGATTTCTTGGGCCAGAATGAGGAGTGACATGGTAGAGTACAGTGGGACTAATGGCTCCCGAGATTGTCCACCCCTGCCATCATGCCCTGGGCTTAGCCAACTGGCCCCCTACAATAAAGTATCCGTGCCGATCACCCACTGCAAATTCCAGCCCAATACTTATGCAAACTTTCCGCTCCCATTTAGATCTACTTTAAATAAGCACGTGTTGGACATAGGGTGGCTGGTGCCCTGGCTCCACATTTGTCACACCAGCCCCAGGATTGACTGCAGCCCTTTGCCAGGTGAGGGGTTCCCTGCGCTGCCTCTCCATGCCTCCCACTGTCTCCTGGGCAGCTGTGTGCTCAGCAGCTGTGTGCCCAGGGCTGGGGTGCAGGCCGGGGGGGGGGGGTTCCCTGTTAAAAGACCAGTTTACTCACAGATACAGACACAGCTCCACGGCCTACTAGAACGCAGTGTTTGTTTTGCTTTCTCTTAACCCTTTTGTAAAGATTTTGAGACAACTTGCTTATACTCAGAACATTTTAAGGACCTCTGAATTTGCTATTTGTTCATATCATGGGGCTCTAGTAGTAGCCTCCTAGATTGTGTGCCACTGCACAGAGGACTTGGGGGCGTTAAATTTCTTCTTTAGTCAGCCCTTACCGCATATGAGGTGGCAAATCTTATGAGATCATTGCATCTTGATCATTGTAATCTGGGAATCGCAGCATCCTTAAGTCAAACTTTAGATATTCTGGTCAACATGTTAAAGAGGGAAAAGAAGAAAACTCACGATGCTGGCCACTTACCCAGCATGGACAGAAGTGAGCCCAGACCCTGCCAGGCCTCTCCCGCCCCGTCCAGGAGCCCACAGGGAGGACAGAGGACGTCACCATCCTGGGCTCCAGCTCAGGCCCAGGACTCCGGCGTTTCCGGGTACAGATCCAGTTTGCTGCACAGGAAAACAGGTCAGTTCACTAAGTTTCAAGGAAGTTTCATTGCGTAGTGTGGCTCTCAGCAGAGCAGCCATTAGTGTTTTCAATGTGCACAGATGAACGACTAACAATGTATTTGTTAGACAGATTTTAAATGAAATAGTAGCTCCTCAAATGAATGACGAAACTGAGGAGAACCGTGTACAAATTTTCACAGCATCCACAGGCGGAAGTGGGTGGTCCAGGAAAAGGTAGAACATTTGCTCCAGGAAAAGGGAGGAAATCCCTTCCTGCGATGGCGGGGGCGGGGGAGGCGGGTGCCCAACTGCCCGTTTGATGGTGCTGTGTTTATGTCTAAATCCAGCTGGGTCGCCTGCAGCTAGAGAATTGGGAAATACGGCCACAGCCTCAAGGCCGATCTGTTAACAGGGCTTTATCCAGGTTCGGCAGAGTTGGGCAAGGGGGCGAGGCGCTCCCCGTGTTTTGGCAACGTGCGTTGACATTTCCGTGTGAATATTTGCTGGGTGGACTCCGTGCTGTGCCTTGCTTTCCAAAGGATCTGGCCTGGGAATATTTAAAGAGCAGGGGCTCACTGAGAAGCGCACATGTGAGTGAACAAAATCCTCACTAGGAGCAGAGAGATGTATTTTGCGACATCGTATTCCCGTACCTTCCACAACCCAGGACAGTAAATTTATAACCCCAGGAAAACCAAAGTGCTCTGGTACCATTTCTCATGGCGGCAGCAGACAGTAAAAATCATTGGTTTTTCATGCGGGAATGGCTTTGCTGTCCTGCGTTATGGATGGCGGCTGCTTTGGGGGACAAATGAAGGACGATCTGGGCTGGTGAACCTTTAGCCATCCATTTATTCCCTCTCCTTTCATTTCACGTACACTTTGTGAGCACCTGGTTTGTTCCGGGCACGTTGTTAATTGTTGTTATGACAGCCAGAGCCACACAGCTGTCACGCACACCAGGTTTCCCAGGGCTCTGCTAGTGTGTGTGTGCATGAACTCGCTGAAGCCCAACCTGCGAGAGAAGCCTGTTTTATCTCCCTATTGAAGATGATGATGTAGGTGAGCAGGCACAATCTCTGACCGCAGGGTGCTTGAGACTGACAGGAGAGAGAGCCACCCATTAGTCAGCTGCACAAGTATTCCTGTTAATTACGAGGGAACACGTACCAGTGGCCGCACGGCCAACGAAGACTGGAAAGATGCCCAGGGGGGGTGAGGGGAAGGTGTGAGAGGGAGCGACGCTGTCAGCAGCGGGAAGCCGCTGCTCTCGGAGCTCTCCGGCCTTGGCGGTGGACTAAGCCTTCCGGGATGTGAAGAGAGCAGGCCTGCTCGGCATCTGGGAAGCCAAGTGGTCGACCTGTGCAGAACCGATTGACACCAGCACTCCTGTCCCGCTAGCAGGCCACGGTAGTGGTCCAGGCTAAAAGGTGGGCATGGAGAGAAGGCTGAGTGGACAAGGCTGGTGGCCCGTTAGTCGTGGGGGTGAGGTAGGGTGAGGACTGGGATCCAGTGGCCGGCGAGGCTCTGCCCAGAGGTGAGGAGCAGCGAGTGTCCCCCGTGGGGCCACGGTGCTTGGCCCAGTGGGCCTGGGAGGACTCCAGGTTGGAGCGTGGAGAACAGCTCACCACAGTACTGTGCTCGGGCGTGCTGTGTCCCCAAGCACAAGCACATCGGAAGGGCATCAGAAGCAAACCCTTTCTGACCTCCTCCTGCTCTCCTTTCCGTTGGCCCCTTTTCCTCCGCAAGCCAGGCCCAAGAAACTAGAACCTCCTTCTCCCTAAGCTGGCCATAAAAACCTAGAAATTACTCTACCCTGCGCCCACCTCCCTGAGGCTGGCTCCTAAAGAGATTCTCAGACCCACCTTGTCTGATCGTGGTCACAAGTTCCTCATCCCGGGAATCCTTCCCTCTCGGTGGGGGAAAGGAGGCCACACAGAGACGTAGGAAAATGTGAACCTTGCTGGGCCCCCGCCCGCTTCAGTCTCTTACATCAGAGCCACCTCTTGGCCCGGTCTGGTTTCTACGTGGCTGTCCTCCTCCCTAAGCAGAAAAATACAGTTGTCCCTGGGTCTCTGGGTCTTCATTCTGCAAGCTCCTGTGTCATGTAAAACTGTGATTAAACTGCTACGTGTGTCTTTCGTTAATCTGCCTTCTGTCCCAGGGTAAAAGTCGTGGTTCTGAACCCTCCGCCCCTGCACTGCTGCAGGCAGGGTCACAGTCAGCACCTGAGGGAGACGCCCAGGGCAGGTGGCAGAAGGAGGGAGCAAAGACACACGTTTTTGTGCCTGTGCAGAAACGGCCTCCTCCAGGGTCACCCTCCGCCTTGCCATGAGCCACATCTTGCCTAGTTCTGTCCCTTCTGGCCACAGCCTCGCCGTCTCGTGACTCCCTCCCCACAGCAGCGCATCCTCCCTCTCCTCCCTTACGATTACATCCCTCTGCCTCGGTGCCTCTTTTCCTCCCTTGATACTGCTATCAAGACGAACTGTAGTTTTGTTTGGAGAGCGAATTAAGTTTACTTGAACAGAAAATTGCTGAAAAAATAGTGGAAATGGCTCGTAAAGTCCAAGTACAAATGAGGTAAAAGTTTTGGAGAAGAGCCTTCTAGTTGAAAGGATTTTTGATTTGTTCTGTCACTGGATACGGTTCTAGCAATTGGGTAGAAGTGGGCTCCCAAGTGGACTGGTAATGATCTAAACGTTGGGGGACGGGGTTGATGGAGATCGACTTTATTTTTTGGCACCCTACAAACAGATGCCGATCGCTGTGGATAATTATCAGGGCTGCAGAGCAACAGGTAATGGGATCATCAATTACAATGTTTAAGATTCCAGGAGCCGATTGGACTTTTATGATTGCAATGTTTTATACAGGAGAAGCTTATGTAAACTAAAGCAAGTCCCAAAAAATTAATAAGCCCGTTGTTTTGGAAGTTTTTCTGTATCGTGTAGGTGTTGCCCAGTTTCCATTAACTATCCCTGGAGCCGTTTCTAATGCCGAAAGCAAGTGGATCCAGCTGTCTCTGAGGCGATGTGAGGCTGCCTCCCTCAGCCCACCCTCTCCCGCTCGCCTCCACTCTGCTGAAAGGAATCCCTTTGAATCAGAAAGTGAAGCTGAGTTTAGGGTTCACTGGAGAGCCCTGCAGAGCTGCCCTGGTGAAGCCAGGAAGGTCAGTGGCTTGGGGGTTTTTGTTGTTTGGGAGGTTAAATGTGTGTTTGGTTTCTTGGAAATAATAAGAGGGATTGTTCAGCTCCACAGTTAGAAAAGACTCATATTGTTCTCTCTTAAATAAAGAGAAGTTCTAAGGTTGAGTGCTTTGGGGTTTTTCTTGTTTTCTTCTTTCCTGCTGAGCTCTCTGGCTGCCCATTCCCCATGGCCACCTGGAGCCAGTCAGTCTTCCAAGGCTCCCGTGACTCACCACATCCTCTGTCTGGGAGACGCTAACAGAACCTGTTCATCACAGGTGTTGCCGTGGGGGTTTAGAAGGTGGAAGGGAGCAGCACAGTGGCAGGGGCTTCCTAGCATGCGGGAGGCCCTGGGCTGCACCCCCTGCACCATAGAAAGAAAAACAAGTGAATTAAGAGCCAGAGCATATCCTGAAAGCACCAGCCTCTTCTCTTACTCCTGGAGGATTTGCTGAATCCCCGCTCTGTGCATGGAAGGGCCCAAGGTACCAAAGGGAACTGAAAAATGGGCTCTAACTCCTTACGTTTGAATAGTGGAGACTGCAGCCAAAGAGCAAAGAGCGAAATAACTAGTGTTTTATGAGGTGCTGGGAACACATGTGGAAGTCAAAGGGGTCAGCAGATGGACAGGGAAATGAGGTCCCAGAGGGTTGGCAGAATTTGGAGATTCAGAGGTTTAGGGTAGAATATTTCAGTCTTTAAAAATAATGTATTTGTGTGTCTCCTTTCAAGAAATGACTGTTTATATTGTTTTTAACTAGATTGTTTGCTTTCCTTCTGTACAGTTGTTTGAGTTCTTTATATATTTTGGATATTAATCCTTTATTGGGAATGTTGCTTGCAAATATTTTCTCCCAATTCATAGATTGTTTTTTCACTCTAATGTCTCCCGTGTTGTGCAATAGCTTTTTACCTGTGTCATCTCACTGTCTATTTTAAGTTTTGTTACCTGCACTTCTGGGTGCAGGTAAAATTTTTGTAATTCATCAGATTGATGATAGATAGTTTTGTCCCTTGTTTTTTTCTAGGAGTTTTACAACTTGGGGTCTTACATTTAAGTCTTTAACCTATTTTGTATTTATTATTACATATGGTGTAAGATAAGGGTCCAATTTCTATATATATTTAGATATAAAAGTCCTCAAGTTGCAAATGAGTTCCACTGCATGAGAATTGTTCATAAGTAGGATTTATTCATAAGCTGACAGAGTGAGCCTCACACAGTGCACCTGTGAAGGTTCACAGCTCAAATGTTCATAAGTCAGGGACCATCTGTCTCTCCATGTCTATCTATATCTACCTATCTATGGATAGACATAGATATGTTTCCCAGTATAAGTTATTAAAGAGATTATCCTTTCCCATCATATGTTCTTGACATCTTTGTCAAAACTTGATGGGTTGTACACATGTGAGTTCATCCTATCCTGTTTATTTGCAGATGAGTATATTTTATCCCAGTACCACACCATTTTAATTACTACAATTTTGTAGTATAGTTTGAAATCAGGTATTGTGATTCCTCTAGCTTTGTTCTTCAGGGTTCATAATTGCTCTGGTTATTTGAGATTTCTTATGAATCTGTGTGAATTTTTAAGAATTTTTTCTATGTCTATGAAAATGTCATGGGAATTTTGATAGGTGTTATATTGAATCTATAGATGGACATTTCAATAGTATAAATTTTTCTAATCCATCATCAGACGTATGAAAAGTACTTACCACCAGACGTATGAAAAGTACTTCCCTAATCATTAGGGAAATACAAATTAAAACCACAGTGATATTTCATCTCGTACCTAGCAAAATAACTGTTATCAAAAAGATG